TAAAAACAAAAATCTCAACTTTAGGCCGCCATTATGGGAAAAGTTAAGATGCCAGAGTTAAATTTTTTTTTCTTTTTCCAAAGTATCTACAGAACACTTGCTATCTTATAATAACTGAAGTATAAAACTAAATTGTTCAAAAGTTATTGGCTGTTAATAATGACAAAAAAAACCCACTACTTAAATAGCGTTTTATCAAGAACCATATTAGATATTGATCTTAAATTTTCAAAACATGCTTTTCACATATATATGTACAAAATCAAAAAATTTCAATAAAATGTGAGATGGTCAATGAGGGACCTCATTAAAACACCACTTGGCACGGAATGACCCATATATATATACAAACACTTACGGGTACATTAGCATTATCGGGGACATTTTAGTGTACCCGTTAATTTTTTGTCCCTGTAAGCATGATTTTTTTTGAAAATAAATGTGCCCGTATACATACATCGACTGACAAATAGCCTGACTGAAAGATTATTTTATATATATATATATATATATATATATATATATATATATATATATATATATATATATATATATATATATATATATATATATATATATATATAATAATCTTTTAGGTTGCCCTCCAACTGATGGCAGATGCAAACATAATAATCGGGCACAAAAATTAACAAAAAGTGACAGTGAAGCTATCTAAAAACATCTACCTTCTCTGAGAGGAAGGTCATCTCATTATGCTATCGGAAAAATTAAAAAAATTAATTTATCTGAAAATCTAAATGTCTCTAAAATGATCGAGCTATTCAAACATGCTTAACCAACTGTTAAAGTAGGATACAAAATATACAGAGTAGTTTTTAACAATAAATTGGGTTTGGCTTCCAACAAAAAGACACTTGTTTAGCTTGTGATGAGTTCATTGTAAATATAAAACACACTAAGAGCTTTTAAATGCAGTTGGTGAAGATAATTAATAAAAAAAAAAAAAATTGATCTTGAAAAGAACATTTTTTTTTTTTCACACAAGAAAAGTATTTTGTATTTTATAACAGAAAGTCAGATGCAAAAAAAAAAAAAAGAGCAATCAGACATGTTTGCTTTTGATTTTCAGAAGAACTTACTGTTGCCTAATAAATCAACAAATGATGTGTACTACCAAAGACAGTATAAGCTTTTTTCATTTTTTCTTGTCACGATAAGAAGCCAACTCCCTCTGATTGCTTGCAGGGGACATCTGAGCTTGAAAAGGATCTCACTTCTGCTACAGCATGGGGCTCACAGTGGCTGGTGAACTTTTAATTCAGATATAACTCAATTTTTTTCGGCCAATTGTTATCGCAATAATTAAGACCTTCCTATATTTATATACGGTAATGTACTCGATGAGTCTCCTACCCTTCATCTTCTAGGATTAACTCTTACTTCTGATCTTTCTTGGAAACCTTATATCAAATCCGTTGCAAAATTAGCATCTGCTAAAGTTGCTTCTCTTTATCGAGCTCGTCACTTTCTTACTCTGGATTCTATTCTCTATCTCTATAAATCTCAAATCCGGCCTTGTATGGAATACTGTTGCCATATCTGGGGCGGATCTTCTAATGATGCCCTTTCTCTTTTAGACAAGGTGCAAAAAAAAACATTGTAAACATAGTTGGACCTGCTCTTGCAGCCAACCTTCAACATCTGTCACATCGTCGTAATGTTGCTTCTATTTCTCTTTTCTACAAATACTTTAATGGGCACTGCTCTAAAGAGCTAGCATCTCTTGCGCCATCTACTAAAATTCATTTTAGTGTTACTCGTCATTCAATTAAGTCTCATCCTTTTTCTGTTACTGTTCCTAAGTGCTCCAAAAACTCTTATTCGTCTAGTTTTTTTCCTCGAACATCAGTTCTTTGGAATTCGCTTCTTTCATCATGCTTTCCTGATTCATATAATTTGCAATCTTTTAAGTCGTCTGTCAATCGTTATCTTGCTCTACAATCTTCATCTTTTCTTTTCCAGTAACTTCCAACACTAATTAGTGGTTTACACATCCTATCCAGTGATGAAGTTTTTCTTTATACATAGGATGAAACAACAGGAAAAAAGGGAGCTGATGATGTTTGCCCTTATGCTTTATCATTTTATTATTAACCATTTTTCTGAGTTTTTGAATTACATTTCTTTTGTGATGGATAAGCAAGACAAAACAAAAATTATACTGCGTTTCATGCATTGGTCCACTTTCAAAAACTCTTTAAATGTATTAAAGTGTCATTTCCTATACGAGGTCATTTTATATAGAATGTGATCGTGACAAGGCAAATATTAATATAAAAGCTGATGGTGAAATTCCTGAGAACTAGTGTCAGGTTCTAAACAATTGCAGAAAAATATCTTTACCTTTAATTGTTGTAAACTATTTTAATGCTAATTTTTTTTAGATAATTTTTTTCTGACTACTTAAAACAAGATTATGTGTCCAATAAAAACTCAACCAGTCTGACAAATTGTCATTCAAGATATACATCCTCTCTTTCGTAACAACTGGAATGCCAATATTGAAAATACTGTTTTGGTAAAATGTAGACAAAATAATCAAAAAGAAACAGCGCTCAATCTGCATAATATGTACCCATCGGTTTTACTAATAAGTACTGCTAAGTATAAACTACAAGTTATGAAGCCAAGTATAACCAAAAAGTTATAAAGCCAAGTATAACCTACAAGTTCCAAAGCTTTGTAAACCTTTTAATCACAGTTTAATTGATAATCTAGCTTTTACTGTTATTACTAATTTTACTGTTATTACTAATATAGAAACACAAGACACAAGAACACTGCTCTTCTATGTGCTTTCGTTTAGCACCATTTCATTCCATCGCCTTTCTTTTTATTCTATATCACTCTCCTTCATCTCAAGACTGCACTCTTCTTGTTGTTATTTCTGATCATATTGACTAAGCCCTCTCTCTTTATCCATCAGCCAATATTGTTGTTGTAGGTGATTTTAATGCTCATCACACTGAATGGCTTTGGCTTTAGTGTCAGTGACTCTGCAGGCATTAAAGCCCACATTTTTTTCTTTTCTCAATCTCTAACTCAAATAGTCAACTTTCCAACTCGCTTTCCAGACAACCCGAATCATTTATGTTCTCAACTTATGTCTTGTTTCTGACCCTAGCCAGTGCTTAGTTTCTGCACATTCACCCTTAGGTGCTTCTGATCACAGTTTGATCTCTCTAAAACTATTATCTCATTCTTTTTCATCATCAGAATCCCTCTATCATCGTACATCTTACAACTTCCTTAAAGCTGACTGGGACTCTTTCTGTGATTTTCTTCGTGATGGCCCTTAGATACAAATCTTTTGTCTTCCTGTTGACAAATGTTGACAAAACAATTCTCCAAAAAACAGACGTCTGTTTATTACTGCTAGGAACCATTGTAAAAATGTTTTGCCTAACGCCAACACCCGCTATTCTCAGGTCATAAAATCTTGTACTTCATCACAAAAATTAGGCTCTCTTTTCATCAATATCATCTCTTGATTCCACTAATTGGGTTCTACCTGATATAGCTGTCAAACAGGTTGATCCATTGCTTAACATTCATATCACTCTAGCTTCTGTATTAAAAGTGATTTCCTGCTTAGATTCTTCTAGAGCTTGTGGCCCAGACAACATACCTGTTATAGCCTTGCAGAAGTGTTCTCCGGAGCTGTCGTCTATTCTTTCAAAACTATTCAACAAGTGCTTATCAGAGTCTTGTTTTCCAACCTGCTGGAAAGCTGCATATGTTATCCCTATTTTCAAAAATTCTGGAGAGGGATCTGATTCATCTAACTAACGCCCCATTAGTTTTCTTCCTATCATAAGCAAGGTTTTTGAATCTTTAATTAACAAACACATAATCTCTCATCTTGAACCTAATAACTTACTTTCTGATCATCAATATGGATTTTGATCTTCTCGTTCTACGGCTGATTTGATGACAGCAATAACCAATAGGTTTTATTGTGCATTAGACAAAGGTGGAGAGGTTAAGGCAATAGCTCTTGACATTTCTAAAGCGTTTGATAAAGTTTAGCATGCTGGTCTTTTCCATAAACTTTCTTCTTAGGGTGAGCTAGAAATATCTTTAAAATTATTGAATCCTTCCTTACCAATTGTAGTATAAAAGTTGTCCTTGATGGACAGCACTCCTCTCCTTATTCTGTAACTTCAGGGGTTCCTCAAGGTTCAATCCTTGGCCCTATACTCTTTTAAATTTACATTAACGACCTTCCAGTTATTCTCACATCTAAGGTGGCATTGTTCGCTGATGATACTACCATTTATTCTTGTCATGATAAGAAGCCAACATTATCTTATTGCTTGGAGGGGATATTTGAGCTTGAAAAGGATCTCACTTCTGCTACAGCATGAATCTTCATCTTTTCTTATCCAGTAACTTTCAACTCTAATTAGTGGTTGCTTGCAGCCTTGTTGGAAGCAAAAATGTTAAAAAAAAAATACTATCGATAAATATTTTTGTAAATATAAGAATGAATTAAAATTAACTATATATTTATAGATATATAAATCTGTGCATTTGCGCGTGTGTAGGCATAAAAATAACTATAAAATCCAAGCAAAAATGTGTAACAAAATAATCAACATACAAAAAACTTTGCACAAATAAGACAACATACAAAAGTTATATAAAAGATAAAGAAACATAAAATAAAGAAATAACATAAAAAAATGTGATTTTCTCAAACCAAATTATAAAAAAAAATTATATTATTTGCTATTTTATCCCCTCACCAACCACACCCAGTTTTACATCACCACACCCATTCTTACATCACCACACCCATTCTTACATCACCACACCCATTCTTACATCACCACACCCATTCTTACATCACTGCACTTATTATTACATCACCACATTTATTCTTACATCACCATACCAATCTAATACATGATAGAACTTTTCAGTTAGTAACACGAATAAGAAGATCAAAGGAAATTTAAGATACCAAAATATTATACCTTGGTACAATGAAGAAAAGAATGGCCTTTTTGTTGGTCCTTTTAAAAAATGAACAGTAGCAGAGGTCGTAAGGCTTAAAAAAAAGTTGTTTACTTTCACAGTTCTTTAAAATTTTAAAAAATATTTTACAAATAAAAAACAATTATTTAAATTTAAAACATTTTGTTTTACTTTATTGTGTTTTCTTCTTTCTCATCAAGTATAAGACTTTTAAAAAAATTTGCTGTGAGATAATGATTTACTCCTGTTCCTAAACTGAAAGAAACTGATTCAATAGCTTTACACGCTGATGATAGACTATTGTGTTGGGTTGTTTGTATAGAAATTGGTTTGATCTTTATTATTGCATTAAGTGATCCAAACTGTAAAAAAAATGTGCATGTAATTATATAAAAAACTTATTAGTACATACATACATTATTATTATTATTAACTTATTAGTACATACATACATACATACATGCATACATACATACATATAATTATATATATATATATATATATATATATATATATATATATATATATATATATATATATATATATATATATATATATATATATGTATAAAACCCTAATTTTTGGGCCCATCCAGTTCTTAACATGGAAGCAAAGAGTTTATAAAATACTTTCTCTATTATTTTCATCTAAATTTATACTCATTAACAAATTTCAAATTTCATGCAATTATCTCTTAGTGTTCAGTTTTTATGACCTTACAAAGTTTACAGTCCCCTCAAATTGAGGTTTTTTGGCTTGGGCAAACAAATGCAGGGGACTTGACTCTAAAAGTACTATTTACCTCAGCATTATCTTAGCAAAATTTTTAAATTAATTTAAAGTTTTGCGTTTTTAATAAACTATTTTCTTATAATTTTGTGAATGAAATTAAATCAAAAATGGTTTATATTACAAAATATTATATTTAGTTTTAGAAACAATTTCTTTTAGAGCTTTTTTTAAATTAGAATATCGCCCTTTTTTTAAAAATTTATTTAATAACTTTATCTACCAATTCTATATAGTTAATGACTATAAAAAATAAAAAAAAAAAATGAAGTGCTAATCTTCAAAGTGCAACTTATTGTGCTTTGCAGATGCAATTACCTCTGCATTTTTTGGTCGAGGCAATTCATCAAAAAACTAAAAAGCCCTTGGCAAAACCTCAGCCGAGTGCCAAGATTAATTATGCACATTATACATTCATTCATATATACATACATTCATATATACATACATTCATATATACATACATTCATATATACATACATTCATATATACATATATTCATATATACATACATTCATATATACATACATTCATATATACATACATTCATATATACATACATTCATATATACATACATTCATATATACATACATTCATATATACATACATATATACATGAATATAAACTTTAAAAATTATATTATTTTTATACAATAGAATTTAATGTATAATGATGATTTTTTTTTTTAAATATTCATAAATTTTATATTTTTATGTATGCTTTTTCCATATTTAGCTAATATGTTGTGATCAGTGTCATCAAGTATAATATATAAACAATTTTACAAAAACTTTAGTAAACTTTTAACACGGAATTTAGATTATTTAACTTTTTACAAAAAGGAATTTCTAATATTCAAAAATATTAATTTGAATAAATTAAAAAGAAAAAAAAAAAGAAAAAAAATTGTTACAAAAATTGATCTAGTGCAATTTTTAACTATAAAAAACATATTTGTTTCAATGCAAAACTTTTTTTTTTAAACTTTATGTAAAAATAAAGATTTTTTTTTTAAACAAATTAATAAAAAAAAACATCAGCAAATTTCTAGAAAAATAAAGTGAATTTACGAAAATCCGGGAATTCCCGGAAAAAAACTCATCTATGCTCAAATTGAGGCTGTGATCAATGTTTAAAGTGGTTATATTAACTAGAATTATTCATTACTAATTATGATAATAAATAATGTAAACATTATTCATAATCATGTTCATGATTATGAATAATCTTTCAATAAAAAAAGATTTTTATTTTTTTCTGGAATTTTTTTTGTTGGAATTTTAAGATCTGTAATAAGTTTTACTAGCCTGATTTTTGCTGCTGGTTACATTACTTCGCTGGAATGTGAAAATAAAAAAATATACATAAATTGGTTAAAAAATCATCTCTAATGCTTTATAATTTCAACTGTTTTCTAATTCATGAGCACAAATATATAAACATAAAAAAATTTATACTTATTGCTCTTAGAGAGCAACTTTGCAAAAAAAATTTTTTTTTTTTTTGCTTACACTAGTTTCCATAACAAAGACACCTACGAGCCATAACAACGTTGTTAAACCATAACAACTCATATTTGCTTACACTAGTTTCCATAACAACTCATATCTACGAGTGTGTTAGGTCTAGTTTAGAAGAAACTTGAAATTTATTAACTAAATATATATGATCAAATATTTAGAACAAGTATAACTTGTTCTAAATATAAAAAAATAATGGATGAATAAATTTTAACTGATGAATTGAAACCATGCAAAAATTTAAACAGACAATAATGCTTGTGTTGTCATAATTTTATTACAGAATCGTAAAAAAACAATAAAAAAAAAAAAAAATCTGAAAAATATCATAGTATGACTAGTAAAAGCAAATACACAAAAAATAAGACTTAAAACAAAAATTTAAATTATAACTGTATTCTTGTTTATCTAATGTAAAAATGAATACAGCATTAAACCTGTTCATCATTTTTTTCTTGTGATGCAATAACTGATTGCCAATTATTAATTTGGAGTATGTAAATGCTTAACCAATGATTTTCTTGTTCATCTGAAAAGAAACTTAAGGGGTTACAAAAAAATAAAAAAACTTAAAAAAATATAATTTAGTAAAGTTGCTAATTTTTTTCAAACCTTTCCAACAAACTGAAAAGTAATCTTTAGATACTTCAACACTCACAAGTTTATTCATCAACTCACCCTACAAAAAAGTTTAATAAAAGTATTTATGTAAGAACACACTTTTTAAATTAAACTACATATTACATTATTTTTTCATACCTCAAATGTTTGGCTCAAACAGCAAAAAAAACCATTTAAAAACCCAACAATTTCAACTGGACCTAATTTTAAATAAACTTTACAAACATTTTTGTATTTGAATCTAACATACACCTCACACAAATTTAAAAACTCAATTCCTTTACATTACAAAAAGATTGGAGAGGCAATAGGTTGTTAACTGTTTCCACTGTTTGGGTTTAAGCTTAATGGCCACAACTCACAAAAAGCATCAGGGTTTGGATATTATTGAAAAAAATCATACATACTGCAACATTTATAATAAATCCATATCTTATCTACATATATCTATGTACGTGTATGTATATACACATAGATGAATAGATAGATAGTATATGTGTGTGTGTGTGTGTGTGTGTGTGTGTGTGTGAGTGTATACAGAGCAGGAATTATCTATAGGCCAACTAGGCTGCAGCCTAGGACCCAGAAATGGGTTTAAAAAGATTTGCTAGGGTTTGTAGTGAGTTATTAAAAAAATATTACTTTCATGTAATAATTGATAGACAACATTTCCTTCTGGACAATTCTTGACATTTTGTGAATTTCTATTTGCACAACCATTAATGATTACAACATTAATTTCTATATAATAATAATAATAATAATAATAATAATAATAATAATAATAATAATAATAATAATAACAATAATAATAATAATAATAATATATCTTATAAAGATAAGCTTTGGTATGACATCTTTGATTTTATATTTTCAAAAAAACAATTTAAATCTTTCTTTAAGTTATTCTATAAATACACAATGTATAATACTTACACATTTAAAATTTTTTTAAATGAGTACTTTGAATACATTCTAGTGATTTTTGACTACTAAATTACTGATTTTACTACTAAATGCTTATATTGGCACTTGTTCTTAAACCATGAAAAATTTTACAGGTGGTTAAAACTATGAACTCCTTTCATAATCTTAATATAATATCCCAAAGTATTCTACTAAACAAATACTTCTAAATTTTATAAAGTATAAAGTTAAAATTGAATTTTAATCATAGGTGGATGAATGACAGAATGAGAATTTAAATAAAAATATGACATAAAATGCAAACATTATATACAACAAACATAAATAATTTAAGGAAAAATTATTACTATAGTGTAAAAAATAAGATTGTAAATTATTTATGATGTTAAGCAACGATGTACCTGTTTCATACACAACTAACATCAAGATTTTATCATATGAATCATCAATTAGATACAGGTTCTTTAGATAAGGTCTGCTTACAATAAATTTACTATATTTTTCTAAACTTGGAAGTTTATATGCAATAATTCCATCATTACATCCACAGAATAAACTATTATTTGCTGATATAATACAAACTATTTTTTCTTTTATCAGCAGCTCTTCTTCATATACAATATTTGGTAAAACCTTTTTTGTACAATATAATTTTTCATTTCTAATTTCTATGATTTTCCAGGCAGAATCAAAAATATCCCACAATATTTTATCAATTCTACGGAATGGTTGAGGTAATTTATCATGAAAAAATTCTAAATCATCTACAAGTGCATGATCCGGTTCACTTAATATAGATGGTGATGGAGGATTGTAACGATTGTATATTTTCTTTTTAAACATTTTGAAAGTTTCTTTTAATTTTATTCTATAAGTAATACTGTACCTTTAAAAAATTTTAAAACAACTAAATAACATATTTAAATATAACATTACTATAGTTTAATTTATTAATTAACCTTTAATAATTATTTAACATAATTAAGATAACTAATATTCTTTGATTATACATATTTACATTAATAAAATATAAACAATATTTAAATAAGATTTAAACATGAATATATTTTTAGCTTTGTATATCTATATATATATATATATATATATATATATATATATATATATATATATATATATATATATATATATATATATATATATATATATATATATATATATATATATATATATATATATATATATATATATATATATAAACTCAAATTCAATGTATGTTCTAAATCTCTCACAGTGGCTATTTTATTTAACATATAAATATACTTGGTCAATATATGGTTATGGCTATGGCCAAAAAAATTTAACCATTCATAGTTATAGAAAACTTACTAAAAAATACACCATGCATGCTGGCAACACACAATTATGCTAATAAATAAAATATTATTATCTTAGCTAAAATATCATTTCTGTCTGCATGAACAAACGATTGCTGTACATTTGAATATGCATAAGACAATTGTTCATGATATCGAGCAGTGCATCAATTCAACAGATGGCATTAATCCAGGAAAATCCTGTAGAAGAAAAAGAATTGCCTCGACAAAAGTCCATGGCAAAATACACTGAAGAATATAATCCAAGATCAGAAGTTCTTACTCAACTGCTTCTAAGTGTGTATGTTAATGCTGGTTGGAAGACGTCTAGCCAAGAACTTTACTTTTATAAAAGACTATAGAGTACTGCATTAAAGAATTTCTCAAAAAAATGTTTGACGAAATTCTGTGCCTGATAAAATATGGTGATTAACTGTGTTATAAAATGTCATGTTTTAAGACAAATTGCAAGTCAAGCAGTTTGCTAGCACACAAAGTCATTGTTTGCTGACCACAATTCAACCATCAATACATTGCACTTTTTAGTAAGCAATCCCCAGTACTAATGATTCAGGATGCAATTACTGCACTCCAAATCATAATTGTAAAACCAATCAATAGTCATGCTGGTTTACATCAATGCCAATGATCATGCCAGATTTCACCTTTTATAACAAGGTAAGACAATTCTGCAATAGATTTTGGAAATAATAAAGAACTATATGTTTAATTGGTTTCAAATTAGAAACAAACTAGTTTGATATATTCATGCACAACGGTAAAAGTTGTCAAGACCCTAAGAAAATACACCTAATGTTCTTGCCTGGTGACCAAGTAAATCATCTGATTTAAACCCTATCAAAAACTGTAGGATAAATATGGAAGCAGAAATTTCTAAAAGGAAACTTCTCAAAATCAAATCTGAGATGCCAAAATGTTTAATTAAAATAATAATCATAAATATTATAATCAAAACAATTTATTATTTTTAAAAAAATTTACAAAATGTTTTTTTTTTTCAACAGCATTATTGCAAATTAATTGTTGAATCTATTTACCACGCTTTAAGCAAAAATGTGTTTCCATATTTGAAATTGTAATAAACATTTAATACAATTTTATTGAGTTAAGTTTAAACTTTGTTTATTTGCTACCTATCAATGCAATGATATAAAAAGTTTATACTGGTTGGTCACATTGAAAATATGGATGCACACCTGTTAGTAGTAGAAGATCCAGCTCAGAAATAAATCTTGATTGTGGATCATACAGGCACGCACTGGTGTTAATCTAACTGCTGATAATCTTGATAGAAGGTTTAGGATATTTTATAAATAAAAATTTTATGCTCGTGAATCATCTTTTTTTCTTTTTCTAAATTTTGGTTATGCAACCAATATTCAAATTTTTAATTGATTTTGCGAATAAAGTGCAATTTAAGAATCCAGTTCGATTAGTCAAGTATTTGCTTATTAATAAATTTTATTATTAATAATAATATTTATTGATTTTATCAAAATTTAACAATATTTGTTTCCTATTAAACAGGCAAAAAAAAAATTATAGCTGTTTTTAATTTATTGATTTTTCAGTCAAATTTTTTAATTTTAGTATTAGAATTAGGTATATATATCTATCTATATCTATATCTATCTATATATATAATATATATATATATATATATATATATATATATATATATATATATATATATATATATATATATATATATATATATATATATATATATATATATATATATATAATCTGGTATTGCAGTTTTAAGCACACATACTGACAGCTGATCAGGGATGGAGAGTCCCAAAAGGACTCCAGCTTTATATCTCCATTTTTTTCAAGTCTGTAATGTCTAGAAACTCTAAACATGTTTGTTGTATCTGCTATAAGAAAAAAATTCATGAGATTTAATGACTTAGAACTTATTGTTTTCAAGCGCAGAGTCCTGGAGTCCCAAAGTCCTTCCCGCCATTATACCTAAAGACTCTGGGTTAAAAAAATAATTGTTCCTCTTATCTAAAAGTCTTATTTTTTCCCCTATTAGAAGTCCATAAACATTTTTATATTTTTAGAGCTCCTGGATACCAAAAATTAGAAAGAAATAATCTTTTTGTGACTTTAAAATCCGGAGTCCTTTTTAGGACTCTGCATCCCTACAGCTGATTCTTGACATCTTAAATCTTGTCTTTTTTGTTTCAGTTTTTTTTACAATTTAAGGTTTCTGGTGTATATGGTAAAATAACCTTTCATTGAGCTTTCATTTCCTTGAGACTAAGAGAAACTAGTGAGCAAGATGCTATAAAGAATGTGGCAGAGTTTGATATATGTATCTTTTATTCACAAATGAAGCACTCTTCCACTAAAATACTTCTGCATATGATATATGTGTAAACTATTTTTAATTAAAAAAAATTGATTAATTATATCAACTTTTTTTCTAACTTTTTGAATTGATTTAAATATTTAAACATAATGAAAATAATGTAAATATACTTTCAATAAACCTGAAAAAATACTTCACTTTTATAATTAAATAATTTCTAGTTTTTTTAAATTTAATTTTTTTGTGTTTTCATATTGAAGTCTAACTTAAACTTAATAATAATGTTCACAAATTTTTGGAAAGTTCACAAGTACTTGGAAATACACTTGATAGTTATTGATGTTAAGCGTTAATTCTTTCATATATCATCATTTTAAAGCACTTAGTGGTCCATTGGTTTTAAGGATTTGGCTATTCATTACTGTTTAGCATTTGGTGGTTCAACATTGTTAAACATTTAGTCGTTCATCATTGGTAAGCTTTGTCGTTCATCATTGGTAAGTTTCACAAAAACTTTAGAAAATCAACTTTTTTGCGGTAATATCTATAATAAAAAATTAAATCTTAGAAAATAAATCAAATTTAAACATCTTGTCCTAGAAAAAAAATTATTTGTGTTAAAAAGATTTGTGCTATATACAAAATACGTGCGTTAGAAGACGACTGCTTGCATTAAATTCAAAAAATATTAGAAGAAAACTAAGATTAGAAAACTGCTTTTGATAAATACAGTGTGTCAGAAGAAAACTGCTTTTGTCAAATACTATGTGTCGCGTTAATTAAAAACTGTTTGTGTAAGTTAAAATCTACTATGTTAAAAACTTAGTCAACAACTAACCATGATCTGAAGAATCATTTAATTTTCTCTTAAGTGAAATACTGATTGATTTAACTTCCTCATCACCAGCTAATTTTTTTCCTGGTTGAGGAAGCAATTCACAAGGTGTTGGTGCAGGACGATTTGAAAAATATGGATGTTTAAGAGCCTAAAAAAATGAAAATTATTAATGTTATAAAACTATTATATATATATATATATATATATATATATATATATATATATATATATATATATATATATATATATATATATATATAAATTAGATTGGCCCTTAAAACAACTTTTTTGAGAAAAACCTGCTCCCACCCACTAAATGTGTTCTAACTAATACAAAAACATTAGGTTTAAAATTTTTTTGAATAAAAAATATTTTAAGGGGACCCTCAAGACCCTCGAATATTTAATGGGTCCCTAATATTTTCAAAAAATTATCAAAAATTTATCAAAATTATCATAAAAAATCATAAAAAATGCATTTTTTTTCATTTTTTGTTAAAAAACGCAATTTTTTAAGTAATAAAACTAAAAATAACAATTTTTAGTTCATCAAAACAATCAGTTAAGTTACTACAGTAACTTAACTGGTTGTTTTGATAGTCAAGTTTATTTATTGTTAATTAAATAAAATTAACTATTAATATTTATTTATTGTTAATTTTATTTAATTGTTAATATTTATTTATTGAGTAGTTTAGTTAAATAGTTAATTATTATTTGTTTCTTAAAAAATAGTTTTAATAGTCTTGCAAACGTTAAACCAAAATTTAAATTATAAAAATTTTACATTAAAAAAAATAAATTATTTTACTTCTATTCAAAGAATATTTTTTTCTGAAAAATAATTTAAGCATATACTTAAACTTAACAATTTGATTTATTAGACTAAATTTTTTTTTCACTTTTTATTGCAACGCAACTTAAATGAAAAAATTTAATGAAAACATCAACTTGAAAACCATTTGAATGAAAACATTGAATGAAAATATCAACTTAAAAACCATTAAATTTTCCATTAACACAAGCTATTTATCTAAATTATCAAAACAACTCTGCAGTATATTTTATTATTGTTTCATAGTTTTTCACAATAACAATTCAATACTCTTTAAAAATAACACAAGTTCTATTGTCAGTTTTATAGTTTTTTTCAACTAATTAAAGTGGTTAAAATGTTGTAATATTTGCATTTTTATTCTTACTTTTTTAAGTAACATGTTAAGTAAAAACAATTACTAAAAGTAATATCTTAATAGTATTAAATACGTTACTTGTTCATTACATTATAACTTGCTCATTACACTTTTACTGTAACTTAAACTTTAAATTATAACTATAACCTAAATTATAACACTAACTAACACTATTTTAAACTCTGCCAAATGAGAAAATTAATATTTAAATATGAGAGATATTATGTTGAAAAAATAAAAATTACGAACTAAATTAAATCAGTCTCAGATTTAAAATGTCGCGCTAGACAAATAAAAAATGCAATTAGTATGCACGACGAGAAAATGAATTAAATTGATTGATTTTTTTTAATGAGTAAAAATGTGTCATCATTAACAAGCGCAATTAACATTAACAAGATCATTCATTGAAAAGTTGAAAAAACCTTTTTAAATTTTTATTGACGCCAGTTATTCTCTAGTTTTAATGAGTAAAAATGTGTCATCATTAACAAGCGCTATTAACATTAACAAGATCATTCATTGAAAAGTTGAAAAAACCTTTTTAAATTTTTATTGACGTCAGTTAGTCTCTAATTAAGATTTTTCAATATTTTTAATAAATTATTTTTTTAATTTATTTTTATTATTCAAAAACTCTTTATTTACATTTTTGCAGTTTATCTTAGGTTAGTAAAGTTACAAAGAAACTTGCAAATTAATAAATATTATACTTTAAAATAAGTTAATAACGCTTTTATAATAAAAGATTTATTAATACTTTCAGTACAATAAATTAGGTGGTAAAGTAAACCGAAAATAACAAAAAAAAAAAAAAAAAAAAGAAATCAAAAATAAAACTTGCAATGAAAAGTATTATCTATGTTATATTTACATACAACATAAAAGAAGATAATTAAATAATATTATAATATTAATTATTAACCAATATTTATAAATACAAAATTTTTTGTTAAATTTACAAATACAAAATTTATGAAGATATTTAATGTATATTTAAAAATTTATAAAAAAAAAAAAAATTGTGTTTAAATACATTTTTTATTTAAATATCTAATTTACTAGATATTTAAATGTGCCGATTAAATTTAGTTGCTGCCCTCATGCCGCAAAAGAATCTCCCTCTGCCCCTTAAATGTCTTTGTTACTTATTTAAATTAAAGTAGCATATTGCAACAAAAAATCTTTAAACAAACATTATACTTGACGGAAATCAGCGAGCCAAACAAATTTTTCAAACATAAAACTTAAGAAGATTGCTCAAAATGAAACAAGTGGAATAATTAGAAACAAACATTTATAAAGTAGAAAAATATTCATGCTGTGAATATAACCCAGCAAAAATATAATTTTTTTTTTTATTTTGATTAAAATTAAATTGTTTCTAAAAAAATGAAACTTATCTATTTTTTATTTAACAATTTCCCCAAGCTCCTAAACTCTCTCTTACAAAAAACATGAAACTATTTTAAGTTTTTTTTGTTATCTTCAACTAGATCAAAAGCAACAGATTTCAAATTTCATCCAAAAGTTTTTGTTACAACTACAAGTTATGACCAAGTAACTTTAACCCCCCGCAAAAATTTTAATCCAAAAATTTTAATTTTACAATTAAAATTTTTGGATTAAAATTTTTGGATTTTTGAAGTTTATGTACTTTTTGAGTGCTTAAAAATAATTTGTTAATTAAAATAGTGTTAATTATATACAGCAAAAATTATAAAAAATTAAAAATTAAAAAAAAAATTATAAATTTAAAAAAAACCAAAGCTAAATTAATATAAATAATATATTAAGAATGAATTTTTTAAATTTCGTAAATTCTTCTTCTTTTTTATTTTGAAATTTACTAAATTACTTAAAAATTTACTAAATTACTTAAAAATTTACAAAATAAAATTTTAAACTTGATAAGTTTAAAATTTTATTTTGTAAATTTTTAAGCAATTTTATTTCAAAAAGAAAATAATTTTAAAATTACCTGAGATGCAGTTATCCTCTTCAGTGGATTATAAAGAAAAAGTTGATTGAGCAAGTCCAAAAGATCGTCTCCTGCAGCAGAAAATATTTCATGTAAAGGTATTCGTGGGAACTTTTTAAATTCAACAAAATCAGATAACTCTTTTAATTCCTAAAAGCAATTTGTATTTATTTTAAAATTATTCTTTCTATTAAAACAATGAATAATAAATATAAGGTGAGAAACAATAAATTTAAGGTGAAAAATGATAAATAGGTGATGAATAATAAATATGATGTGATTAATGACAAATACGAAACAATGAATGACAAATCTGAGATGATGAATGATAAATATGAGGTGATGAATGAAGAGTGTGACATGAAGAAGGATAAATATGATAAATGTTATATGAGTAATAAATGAAATTTGATGAATAAAAAAAATTTCCAGTAAAGTTTGATGTAAAGTCTCAGTTTTAAAAACATATTGCGACATATTTAGCAAATAATTTACTAAATCTTGCATTGTATGTTTTAGATATTTCAAAACTCTGTGGTTTTATTTTTTTTATTTCCATGACATGAAAAATTTTTTATAAACTTTAGATTGTAAAAATAGCTGTTGAGGACAAACGGACAATTTAATGAAAGAAAATAAGTTGAAACTAAAAAAGTTTAAAAAAGAAAACATTCTAAGAACAATGAAACGCTTTGAAACTTTTAAAGCACTTCATGTTTACCCAAGTAATTATTATTACTTAACTTTGTAGCATAGTTGTTTAAACACTATACAATATTAAGATGACATTTTATACATACATACATAAATATTGCAATGACATTTGTCACAATTGCGAAGTTATATATATATATATATATATATATATATATATATGTATACATATATATATATATATATATATATATATATATATATATATATATATATATATATATATATATATATATATATATATATATATATATATATAAAACCACAGATGAAGATTGTAGAGCAAGATAACGATTGACAAACAACTTAAAGGATAGTGCAGTGTCCATAATAGTATTTGTAGAAAAGAGAAAGAGAAGTAACATTATGACGATGTGATAAAGGTTTAAGGTTGGCTGCAAGAGCAGGTCCAACTATGTTTACAATGCATTTTTGTATCTTGACTAAAAAAAAAAACACATCATTAGAAGATCTGCCCCAGATATGGCAATAGTATTCCAAGGCCGGATTTGAGATTTACAGAGATAAAGAACAGAATTTTGAAACGAATTTGATTTACGGTTTTCAAGAAAGATCGGAAGTAAGAGTTAATCCTAGAAGATGAAGGGTAGATGACTCACTGAGTACATTACTGTTACATAAATATAGGAAGATCTAAATTATTACAATAACGATTGGCTGAAAAAAATAGAGTTTTATCTGAATTAAAGTTCACCAGCCACTGTGAGTCCCATGCTGTAAGAGAAGTGAGATCCTTTTCAAGCTCTAATACCCGTCCAAGCAATCAGAGAGTGTTGGCTTCTTATCATGACAAGAATAAATGGTAGTATCATCAGCGAACAATGCCACCTTAGATGTGAGAATATCTGGAAGATCATTAATGTAAATTAAAAAGAGTATAGGGCCAAGGATTGAACCTTGGGGAACCCCTGAAGTTACAGGATATGAAGAAGAGTGCTGTCCATCGAGGACAACTTTTATACTACAATTGGAAAGAAAGGATTCAAAAACAATTTTATCAAAAGTATTAAACTCATTCATTTAAGTTTTAATTACAAAAGCCTCTTTTTATAACTATTTGCTCACTTGCTTAGAGCTTTCAGTGCAACTAAAAATTTTACAAAGAAGAGGAGTAATAAATGAATTTATTTTATAAATAGAATTAGGAAGAAACAAAAAAAGAGTTAAAACTAGTCTTGAATTAGAATTAAAAAAATTTGGTCAAATGCAACGTTCTTTTTAACGTTAAAAAGAATAAAAAGTATTTCTATATCCAAAGACCTAAAAACTTATGCCCATGTAAACTACATAGTAACAAAAGCAAATAATATATTTCGGTTTTTGAAGCATACATTTCAATCAAGAAATGATCACATATGGAAAAGGCTATACACCATTAATATCCCTCCGCATCTAGAATTTGCTATGTCTGCATGGAGACCACATCTAGAAGGAGATATCTTTAAAGTTGAACAAGTTCAGCGAAGAGCTACAAAAGTTGCACATAGTATGAAAAATCCTTCGTATAAAGAGCGAATAAATAGACTTAATCTAACAACGCTGGAAATAATAAGAAATCGCGGAAATCTGATCCAAATATTTAAGCTAAAAAATAATTTAGAATCTTTTAGAGTGAAACTCACCTTTAACAGGAAATATTAGAGGAAATATTGTGCGAGAGATGGTCAAAAACTCAGACATTCAACATAATTTTTTTAAAAAGAGAATTGCTAAGGAGTAGAACATTCTACCAAATGACGTTAAAACATCAAAATCAGTCGATGAATTTAAAGTTTTATTTGACAGGCTAAGCTCAGGCTGCTATAGCACACCATCTATTGCTGGTGGGCTGCACAGTTAGTTTATATAAATTTATATTTATAAACACTCTGTGAAATATTATTTATGCAGAAATATATATTACTATTATTACATGTTATAATGCTTAAATAAATATCAGAAAAACATTAGTTGTTGACTAATGTGTTTATGATGTATTTATGATATGATACAAAATTACAAAAAAAACTAAAACGTAATCAATTATTATAATCAGTTTATTTTCTCCAGAAACAAATATCTTTTAAAAGATAATTTTTTTAAGTTACTTTAAATATGAATAAGTTCAATTAAGTCTTCCTATGATTTAATTTTTATTTTTTTTTTGTTTATATTTTTACAAAGAATTGTTTAAAGTTGTTTATTTTAAAACTTGACTATTTAAAGCATAAAATGATTAAAAATGTTATTTTTTAAACAATTTTTTTTCGCAACTTTTTCAAAGAAATGTCTATACTAGTAAAAAATATAATATTTTTTTCTTTTCAATAACTTAATTTCACTTTTCAATAATTTGAATAAAATTTGTTCATTAATTAAACAATCCATAGAAGTAATTGGTAAAAGTGTTTTGCTTAACTTTAATTAAACGTTTTAAAAGAAAAGTTTTAAATTTTTTTCCAAAGTAATTAAAAACATAACAAAAAGTAATTTTAACTTTGAGTTTATAGTTTTATTTTAAAGCTAATTTATACTCTTTTTCGAAAGGAATTGTTTTGCTTATTCTTTAGTTTTTTCATTTTTTTTCCTAGTTTAGGTTTAGCTTAACATTTCTTTTTTCAGCCCATTTCTGAAACATTTAAATCATCAAAACATCTAAACAGACGTGGTCAAGTTGTAACCAAAAAAAAACCATTTGTGTGGTCAGCAATAAGCTTTGACCGCATGCCATTCCTGTCCATGCTTTATTTTGTAGAATTTAATTCCAGTCTGTCAAAATGTCCAATTACTTTGTTAACTGTTTGAACCATATGAGGTTTTAGCTGGACAATGTCTGATTTCCAACCATTAAATGGAGACATGCAAATAATGTCCAAACCCTTCAGCTGATATGTAATTTGTAATAGTCACACATTGTTTATTTTGAACTTACTAATTATCTAATTTGAGTTTAGCTACTTTTTTATCTGTCACAAGCAATAAACTAATGTTCTACAAACTATCAGCTTACTAATACTTTTGTTGCAGAGATATGAAGTGAATCATAATATAAGCAATTCAACATAAGTTTAATATATAGTAGTGTAAAAATAAAAGGTTTATTTTTCTGAGTTTTTTATTTTTTTGTAATGAGTATTGAATTCATAAAATCATGTTAAAAGTTTCAATACTATTCACAATACCGCAGAAATCTATGAAAGTTGAAATTTTTTAAAATTGTTTTTCTGCATAATGTAAGTTAAATGATATTTTCGGTCCTAAGTTCACCATTCTCTTGTCAAAATGTTTTGACTGATTGCATTCTTCAGACTATGCTTTTAAACATAATTTCTAAAAAGTAAACAATTATATTGGATAATATTTGATAAATTTGTTGCACATGTTTTGTGGAACAGGTCATATTTATCTCTCTCTCTCTCTCTCTCTCTCTCTCTCTCTCTCTCTCTCTCTCTCTCTCTCTATATATATATATATATATATATATATATATATATATATATATATATATATATATATATATATATATATATATATATATATATACATATATATATATATACATATATATATACATATATATATATATATATATATATATATATATATATATATATATATATATATATATATATATATATATATATATATATATATATGTATGTATATATATAAATATATATATATATATATATATATATATATATATATATATATATATATATATATATATATATATATATATATATATATCATAGGTCTAACAAAGGTAGTTTTAAAATCCCATCTCTCATTCATGGGACTGATCTTATTACCTATCCCAAGTTAACTTTTCTTTTATTTCCTTGAATTTTATGGCCATACTCTTCCTTTCATTTTAGTTAAACAGGTTAACCTATTGTTAGACATTCAAACCACACCAGCTTCTGTTGCTAAAATGATACCTCAACTAAATTCTTCTGCGGCTTGTGGTCCAGACATTTTTCATTCTGACTCTTCCGACTATTGTCCAATCAGTCTTCATTGTGTTATTTGCAAGGTCTTTGAGCCTTTGATCAACAAATTTCTCTCATCCCATTTTGAGTCAAACAACTTTCTGTCAGACAACCAATACAGTTTTTGATCCTTTTGGTCTACCACTGACTTGTTAACTGCTGTGACTGAAAGATTTTATTGTGCATTAGATGGAAGCAGCGAGGCTAGGATTATTGCTCTTAACATATCTAAAGCCTTCAATTAAGATTGGTATGCTGGTCTTCTTCCTAGGCTTGCTTCATTTGTTGTATCTGGGAAAGTTTTGAGAATATTTCCTTTTAATTACATTATTAAAGTCATCCTCAAAGGCCAACACTCTTCTTGATTTCCAGTAACTTCTGGGGTACCTCAAGGTTCTATAACTGGTCTTGTTTTGTCTCTTATCTACAATAATTATCTTCCTGACAACCAGACTCCATTCTCTACCTCTACCAATCTCTTATTTGTCCCTGAATGGAGTACTGCTTTCATATTTGGACTGGTTCATCTAATGATGTTCTTTCTCTTCTAGACAAAGTTAAAAAATACATTGTAAATAATATATTATACAATTTATATTTGTTTAATCTGCCAAGTTTAAGTCTCTCACCCATCATCATAAAGTTGCTGCTCCAAGCGGGAATGAGTTTTTTTTTAACCAAAACTCATTCTTGCTTGACTCATAATACAGTAAGGACTCATCCTTTTACTGTATCTGTCCCTCCATGCTCTAAAAACTTTTATTTGTCTATTCTTTTTTCCCACACTTCAACTCTTTGGAAATCTCGTCTTCATGTTTTCTTGACTCATATTAGACAATAATTAAAAGAAATTACTACATCAGGCTTTCACAGGAAGACGTGCGATTTTACGTCTTTATATGACCACACAAGTTACATTTTGCTATGACGGTTTGACCGTGGCTAATTCAAAAAAGATTTTAGAAACGCGCTAAATAAAAAGTATTTTAAAAAAGTGAAATTAATTACATCAAAACTTTTTAACATATCTTTTTATATTAGCAAAATAATTTTAAATAAAGTAACAATATACTGAAAAAAAGTTTTGTTTTTTAAATATAATTGACAGTTGTATATATTTTTTTAAAGGGATCCCTAAGTGCTCCTAACATATGATCACATATGAAAGAGCATAAAAAAAAAATATGTAAGTTTTTTTTCTTTTTCACTAAATTGTAATAATAAATACATGCTAACAAAAAGCAATTGCCGAAATCACTAAAAAACAACTCCATTTTGATTTTATTTTTTCACCATTGAAACTCGATTGTTGGTCGTTAAAAATCACGTTAGTACATCACAACAACTTTAGAATATCTACTTCGATTTTCAAGTAAAAAAAAGTTGTTATTAAATAGTTAAGTTTTAATCAAGTTTTTTTAATTAGTTTTGCAAAAACAGTATAATAGCATTTGGTTGAAAGACGTTGTTAAAAAAAAGTTGTTAAGTAATAGGTTTAAATAGTTTAGAACTTATAAAAAAGTCTTACAGGCTCGTATTAAGCATATCGCGATCGCGATTGCAACACACACTTTTGTGATTAGTTTTCTCTTAAAAAAAATCTTTTCGCGACTCGTTTTTTTTTTTTGGTTGATTAATTACTTTTTTTTCCAGCTTAGCATTTTTTTAGCAATTCTTAAAAGTAATGTTTTTATCATAAAGAACGTCACACAAAATTTATTATTCTGAATAGATAGATGAACAGATGATTTGCTCTTTCGAACTAAGATTTTCTTTCAACGTAAAACATTTTTGAATTTAAATTACTTTAAATCTCTGCATGGAATATTTTTACAAGGTTGTTAAAGCGAAAAGTTGAAAAGTTGGTTTTTATCTTTGTTTATCAAAACTTCATGTTTAAAATAAGGCTTAAAAACGTTAGAGCAAAAAAATGATGGACATTAAAAACTAAAATAATAAATAACAATTTTAAACTTACTGGCCATTCAGCTGTTGTTGGTGTTCCAAGTGTTTCAAATATTTTTGACAACTGGCTCAAGTCAGAATCTCCAGGTAAAAAAGGAACCTGGGAATGATAAATAATAGATGGAACAAAGAATCTTTAGAAAAATCAAAAAAATATTATATTCATTTAGCCAGCAGAAGCTAAGCTATAGTAGATAGATAAGTTAGAGGTAAGCATCTTACTCTGAGTAATAATTCTGCCAGAACACAACCTACTGCCCACATATCAATTCCAGTCCCATAGTTCTTTGCACCAAATAAAAGTTCTGGACATCGATACCATCTGATGTTATCAAATAAATTAAAATTAAAATTTGTAAAAATTCAACCAATAAAAAAAATTTGATTAATGACTTCATAAGTAAATAAGTTTATGTAAAAGCTTAATAATAAATTTAGTTAAAAGTGTTACATTATATTGAATAAGGAAAACACAATAAAATTAGTAAAAGGTCATATAATAGTAATAATATTAATACCAAAAAAATAAAAATAATAATAGTAATATATAAAAATGTTCATAAAAATGAATAGCTTACTTAACTATAGTGGCTCTTCGAGCTTAGGAGTTGTCCATAAATGACATCACACACTAAGGGAGGGGGGGGGGTGGAAGAGGAGTTTGTGATTTTGTGATGACTTCTATGAGACTTGTTAACTGTAGTACCCCTTAAAGCATAGGGTTGTCCATAAATTGTCATGCTCTAAGGGGATTGGGGGGAGAGGGTTAAGTCTTTTTATGATGACTGAAAAAGGAACTTGTTACTAACGAGCTATGATGTTGTGATGAGGAGAGAGGTTCATAAAAACAGTAAAAAAATGCGTGATGTAGTTTATGAGAAACCCCTTAAGGAGGTAAAAGCATTAAAATTTTTGTTAAAAAAAAAAAACAATATAAATAATATGTAAATTCATTAATTGAAATCAACTCAAATTTTTTTGCTTTGTGTTCCTATTTTTTTTAAAAATGAAATACAAGTCAATACATATAACAATAAAACTAAAACACTGTTTAAACATTTTGTTATCTGTTTTGCTAGATATTGATGAAACAAATAAAACATTGAAAAAAAGTAAAACTTTAACATACGGTGTAACAACTTGATTTGTGTATATACGATTTGGTGAACCAAATGTTTTGGCTAAACCAAAATCTCCAATTTTAAGAATACCTTTTGAATCCAACAACAAATTGTTTGGTTTCATATCCTAAATAATAAAAACACTTTTTTTAGAGAAGAATTTAATCTTCCCAACAAAAGTTACCATTAACTAACAGTACACGAATGAACAAAAATCTAGTTAATGAATGCACAAATATGCAGTCAACAAATTACAAAAAAAAAAAAAAAAAAATTTAGCAGACAAATGTACAAACATTCAGTCAATTAATGTAAAAATATTCAGTCAACAATTGATAAAGAATGTCCTGCTTATCCTTATTTCAACACCATGACAAATATATATCAGTTTCTGCAAATTAAGGCTTGCACATTACACTGTTACTAATGACATGATATTGATTTTATAAGGGGTCGTCCATAAACTACACCACGCAATTTTTGACTGCTTTTGACCTCCCCCTCTCGTCACAAAATTGTCACACTTAAAAAGTAATTTTTGTATGAGTCATCACAAAACCAACACCCCCCCCCCACACACACACACTCCCCCTAGCGTGACGTAATTTATGGACGACCCCTAAAACAAAATTGTATTATTTTACTGTATTTTACATATTTCTTATTTTAAACTAAATTTTAAATTTTTTTATAAATACCATACCCTGTGTAAAACCCAATGTGAGTGCAAGAACTCCAAACCTTGTATTGTCATAAGAATGAAGCTTTTAATATGTGGTGGACTTAAAATGAGCGAAGTATCCTTGATTATCAGCTTGAAATATAGAATTAAAGTTAATTAAATATAACTTGTATTATTAAAAAAAGTATGAATGAAAATATACAATTTAAACAATAAAAATAACAATTATGCAGCCATTTTTCAAAATGCCTTATAATTTTTTTGAAAATGTTAAACTTTCATGAAATTTTTCATAATTCTTAAAAAATGTTTATTAACTTTTGTAGCCATCTAAAATAGCTTATTTTGTAAAAAAGTCAAATTTGATTTTTTTCTTTACTTTGAGGCATTTTGAAAAACAACTGGAGATATTATTATATAATAATTATTACATTTATACAATTATTAATTATTACCAATTATAAACCAAGTTCCAAAAAAACTGAATTGAAATAAATATCTAATTCTTACAACACCAATTTTTTTTTTAAGCAATTATCTTTTTTAAATAACCAACAATTTTATTTATGCAAATAATTATTATTAATATTGCTTCACTATAATTATTGGTATTATTATTTACCTCTAAATCAGTTTCCATAAAATCAAACACTAAACTTATGCTTGATTTATGACCAAATACATCTAAAAGCTGTAAAAACAAAAAAAAATTAACTATAAATATGTGTGTGTGTATATATATAAATATATATATATATATATATATATATACATATATATATATATATATATATATATATATATATATATATATATATATATATATATATATATATATATATATATATATATATATATATATGTATATATATATATATATATATATATATATATATATATATATATATATATATATATATATATATATATATATATATATATATATATATATATATATATATATATATTACTTTTCTGTGTTCAAAATCCCAATGTTCAAAAATTCTGGAGAGCAATCTTACTCATTTAACTATTGCCCAATGAGTCTTAAGTCTTTAATTAATAAATACTAAATCTCTTATCTTGAATCTAATAACTTACTTTCTGATCATCAATATGGATTTTGATCTTCTTGTTCTACTGCTAATTTGTTAACAGTATTAACTGATAGGTTTTATCATACATTAGATAGATGTATTAGAAAGTAAGTTATTAGATTCAAGATGAGAGATTAAATGTTTGGTAATTCTCAACAATTCTAAAGCCTTTCATAAAGTTTGGCATACTGGTCTTTTCCATAAGCTTTTTTCTTATGGTATATCAGGTAACATCTATTATTGAACCCTTCCTTACCAAGCGTAGTATAAAAGTTGTTCTCAATAGACAGCACTCTTCTTCATTCTTCATTTTCTGTAACTTCAGGGGTTCCTTAAGGTTCTCTCCTTGGCTCTATACATTTTTTAATTTACACTACCAATCTCCCAGAAATTCTCATACATAAGGTAGCATTGCTCGCTGACAATAGTACCATTTATTCTTGTCTTCATAAAAAGCCAACACTCTTTTATTGCTTAGAGGAGGTATTTGAGCTTGAAAAGGATCTCATTTCTGCGACAGCATGGAACTCTCAGTGGTTGGAGAATTTCAACTCAGATGAAATCAATTTTTTTCAGCTAATCATTATCACAACAATCTAGATCTTCTTATATTTATGAACGGTAATGTACTTGATGAGTCATCTACCCTTTGCCTTCTAGGATTAACTCTTTCTTATGATTTTTCTTTGAAATCTTATATCCAATCTATCGCAAAATTAGCATCTGCTAAGGTTGCATTTCTTTACCCTGCTCGCCACTTTTTTTACTCTGGATTTTTTCTTTATCTCAATAAATCTCAAATCCATCCTATATATATAAACCAAAGCCAACAAATGTGGAGTTAGAGTGAGATTTTCAGTAAGAGTTCTTTTAAAATTTTGGAACTCTGAAACTCTCAATTTTCAAATAATAATAAAAAAATAATAAAAACATTAAAAATATTTATTTTATAACTGTTCTTTAATGACATCTAAGATGCAAAAAAATAATTTTTTGAACCTGGTTAAAAGGGGTCTAGCATAAAAACAAAAAGAAGCAATAAGTTTGACTGTTAGCACTACTTACTTAACCAAAAATGGTTAACTTAAGGAAACATGAATTAAGTACTTTCTAAATAAAATTCATTTGAGAAAAAATAGGTATCAATATAAAAAAATTTACATAGACATAGTATGAAGTATAATTTTGTACTTTATTGTTTTTCTATTTTAATTTTTTTTAGTAATAACCTCGATACTTATGCAGATTTATATAAGCGATATTAATATATATACAAATATATATATATATATATATATATATATATATATATATATATATATATATATATATATATATATATATATATATATATATATATATATATATATATATATATATATATATATATATATATATTTATATATATATATATATATCACGGTTGGCATAAGAGACCGCCAGGTTTTATGTCGTGTCACTCATACAAATTTTTTTTCATTTTAGAGTATTAGTAGTTTACTTAAAAAAAAAGGGTTTTTTAAAATCCGAATACGGTGCAAAGGGTCAAAAAAGGGCAAGAAAAGGGCAATGCAAAAGTTTCTAGCCTCATATTTTTATAAATGATTATAATAACGAATTTTATTCTGATTAAAAATTGTAATGAAACATACACTTGAAATTTAATGGAAAGTTCTCTATTTTACATTTGAAACAAAAAATGTATATATTAAAATGATGAAATTCGACATCTTTTTGAATATCTTTTTTGCAACTTAGGTAATTTAACCGAACTTCTTACAACGTATAAAAACCAGGTAGTTTTTATTAACATCAATTTTAAATAATTGACTTACAAATTTATTAGAAGAATAATGAAAATAATAGCCGCTTTGTATTTTCTATTTATATGTCAACATAAATTAATAATAATAAATTAAGCAACTTTTTAAGGTAAACTTTTTAATGATAAAATAAAATCCAGGCTGCATAACTAAAAGATTTTTTAACTGTTTTTAGTTAAGCGTTAACTAATTTTTGCCGATCTAATAACTTTATATAAAAGGATTCTTAAAAAAAAAGCTAATTTGCATTAGCTTTTTTTTAAGATTGCAATTTAAATTCAAGTTTTCTCAACATTAAGTATTTTAACTTAATGGTGTTATATTAAGTTTTCATTTTTTTGGATATAAATCACATTGATTTCAATAAATTAAAATGGCTGGTGTTAGCATGTCGACTGCTTCTTTTCAACGAAATGCAACATGTTGTTGCTGTTGAGAATTTTTTGGAGCAAGGTCTTTGTCTTTATCTCCTGTAAATTCAACAATAGAAGATTTGATGAAGCTGTATATATATCCCGGTTATTCCCTGGAAATTAGCAGTTACCCAACTGTAGTTTGTTCCAGTTGTAAAAGAAATCTTTACATGATCAAGCCCGGTAATACACCCAGAGGCTCGTGGAGAGAGAAAGTATCAAAGGTAGAATGTAAAACTATATTTTAAATTCATTATTTCTGTCAAGTTTTTTTAAGCTATTAAGTTTTAAGATTATTAATATTAATTTCTTTAGATATAGATACCATCTATATAGAAATCAATAGTCTTAAAAAAATACGCTTTAATAATAATTAAAAAAACGTTAAAAACAAAAATAACGTTATCATGTGTTTTTATTTTTAACCTTATTATTAAAAAAGATATACCTTTACTATTTATAGCAAATTCTAAATTGTAATGAAACACTTATATTTATATAACTTTGTATTTCACTTTTAAAGGTTAATGGAAAATGTTGACCAGAAATTCAAATGGAATGCTCCCAATTAGTGAAACCGAACCAGTTATATCTTTTTCTGCCAATAATTCAAAGCTCTGTGGACAATGCTACTCAATCTTATCAGCAGGACATGCCCACAACTGTTCTTCGTCAACTGCTTTAAAAAACTTGATTTTTCTATCCACAAGGGAGGATAGAAAAATCAAGTTTTTTACAGGGAGCATTCAAGCTGAACAAGTTGCTTCAGGTATAATACAAAATAAAATGAGTGCAGACTGCATTTCAACAAGGACAACATTTTCTTTATCAACTGGAGGAAACCCGTTGGATGTAACTGTTGGATGTCCTTCTAACAAGGTAAATAGAAGATCAGTAAAACAAGTATCCTTACAAGTTATAAAGGAACTTCAAGTTTTATTAGAGCTTTCTAATAAAAAGACCAAACAATTAATTTCTACTCTTTGGAAAGGAATAGGGAGTAAGACTGTTGTAGAAACTAACATTTTTGGCAAGTTAAACGATCTTTTGGAATCCATATCACATTTTTATCATGTAGAAAAGGTAATTTATATTTTAAATATATTCATATTTGTATATTATTTATAGATATCTAGTAATATATTGATCAAAAAATTGCTCTTTTATGATGTTAGATTTTCTAATATAAAATGATATGCAAAAAAGAGAGAGATCCTCCACTGTGAATAAAACATCCTTATCCTATAGTAAGATAGAAACTGATCTTATATTAGATCAGACAATGCTTTTTAGGCTTATTACTTTGAATACTAATCTTCCTAGTGGTTGCAAAATATATTCCTAATTTTCATAACAGGCTAACACCAGGAAAGATATTTGGTTGTAAAAAAAGTTGCATTAACTCTTCCATAAGCCATATAAATATATAAAATGCCATTAAAAAAAATATGCCCTAGCCAAACAAGTGTGTATTATTTATATAACTATTATTTGTTATGGCTAAACATGTTTATTCATTACAAAATGTACTTATACAATGTGTAACCATCAATATATGTGCAATATTATTTGTAAAATAGTGAAGCTAATTTAAAGTTGAATGATATTCGAATTAGATTTTGAATAATTTACATTAATATTTTGTGTTTTTTATTAATCTTTAAGTTTTCTTAGTAATTTTTATATACAATATAATGACACTATATGAATGTGACAAAATAATGACACTTATCTATTTATACATCTTTACAGATAGATCTCCTTGACAATGAATTGGGAATTGTTGAAAAGGATCTTGTGTATGTTCAAGAGTCATCATCTTTCACAATGGATTTGATTAACCAACGTGGTTTAGACGTTCATTCTGCATTTGTATGAATTTCTATGGATAGTGGAGGATCCTTTTTGAAAATTATAATCAATGTTTTTGATGTAAATGAAAAAAAAAAATCTTCTGTAATGTACATGAATAGTGGTGTTCAACATTGTCAAATTCTTGCTATTGTTGAAGATGTTCCTGAATCAAATCATAACTTAAGAATTATATGAGAAAAACTCAAGTTACAAGATGTCAATTTTTTTGTAAAATTTGATTTAAAGTGCGCTAATGCTATGTTTGGTCTATCAGGTCATGCAGGAAAAAGAGCATGCCTGTGGTGTGAAGGTTTGAAAAATGGAGAATGTGGAAAGTTAAGAACTCTTGGAAGTCTTGATTATTGGTATGAAAAATACAGTGTCGAAAATAAATCTAAAAAATCTAACATGCAACAATATATAAATGTGATACATCCGATGATTCTCTATCTAGAGAAGAGTCCAGATACTCTAATTCAGCATTTGGTACCACCTCCTGAATTA